TTTGCTTGTGCACTGGGAAGGGGTTGGGGAGGGACATCGGTGGACGCTGAACTGCGCGGGCAAATGATACTTCCCGGTTGCCCAGGCCGAGGAAGGGGGGTTTGGTTGAGGTACCCCACCTTGAGCCTTCCACTCAAAAGTCTGACCCATAAGGCAGTGGGATGACGTAGGGTTTTATTCGGGGACCCTGACCCTAGCCTCTGACTCAAAAGTCTGACCCACGAGGCAGTGGGAGAACGTAGGGTTTTCTTTGGGGACCCTTCCCGGAGCCGATGACTCAACAGTCTGACATGCTCGGCTGCAGGGAGTTGGCCTAACCCGAGGGCGCAGGGAATGAGGCATTACTGTCTCATTCCTGGTGCGGCTGCGCACAGCAGGTGTCTTTTGAGTAGCACCGGGCTCTTTGGTTTTAAAAGTATTTCGACCGTATCGGATAATGCGCCGGCGGTCACGGTCAACCGTTGGGCGATCGGAGTGTGCGGTTTTTGGGGCCGACCTTTTCTAACCCGTCCTTCCTCGGGGGAAGGCAGCATCGCTGCTTCCATAAATATGGACATGCTGGTCGCCTGGGGGAAACACCTTACTGCCTTCACACTCCTGTCGCAGAGGACAGTACGACTTTACCCCCAGACCGCCTCGTAGCACGATTACTCGTAGTACGGGGTCTCGCTGCTCTTGGTCTGGCTGCTCCCCTTTGGCCTTCCTGGCATAGTTGTACCTTGTGGAACGAAGTTCCAGCCAGTGTAGCCCGCGGGATCATTGCAGCACTGAAGCCCGACCACCATGTCAAGGTGGCAGCTTTAGGTCGGGTTAGATGTGCTCTAGCCTACATAGACCTTACTAAAGTCCCTAGTTCTGTCCACCTGGTGCTTCAACTGCGCCAGTGCAGAGCGCAGGGTGTTTACCTTCTGGAAGGCTAATCTTATGTTGGCCGTGTTTAGGATCCTTCGAATAACTTCCGATGTCCCTGGTTTGTATAGGACAACAGCAGTCCCAATACATTCCCTGTTGGACTTCGCCACCGGTACCAACACCCTTCCTATATGGCAAACTTTTTTTCCTTGTTTGCTGGTTAGTGTACGCTTCAGTTTCATACATTCTCAGTGATGCTAGCAGTCGTATAGCAGCATTAAATGCTGTCACCCACTTGCCACACAACCAAATTATCGACGTTAGATGTGCTCTAGCCAACGTCGAAGATAAACAGGCGGACAAGAAACGCTGAAAGACTCAGCAGCAATGGCGAACACGGAACACAAAATGTTGAAGTTTTGAGACTTGGATTATGATCGACGCCACAGAGTGATGGCCGAGGTGGCAGAAATCGTGAAGCACCTAGAGTAGGAGGAGTAGAGCTGGCAGAGGTGTGGGGATGGGTTTTAGATCAGTTGAGCTGAAACGTAGTGGTGTGCGGCCATCAGAAGGAGGAGACCTCGACAGAAGTAGCTTAGATATGAAGTGTACTTGATCTCACCCATCATCCCTCCACAACTGAATTGTCATAGCACTCACAAACCCACACAGACCAATTAAAACTGCCGGTGGCACCCAAGGTGAATCATCAAATGAAGCACTTTGAAGTGGAAGTCCGACAAAAAATAATTTGAAATTCCTCCAACCCATCAACCGTCAGGCAACCACACTAACCGACAAGAACTTTTAACTGACATTCAACACTGATCTAGTGCGTCAATCTGAAGAGGTCTTACTGACTGGTTCTCCGTCTGCTCTACAACCTGGCCTATTCACTTGGCTCGATGAAAATTTTGTACCAGAAGCGAAATGTTGCATAGTTAAATACTACCAACTGTTTACCAAGCCCTTTTGAAATGAGAAACTCACCACTTTGAAGTGTCCACAAGAATCTGGGATAGAACTGTGTTTGTAGTCATCCGCACTATCCGCTCCACAACACTCGAACTGAACAGAGGCTTGATCAAAAACAGATGAGAAACAATGAACTTACTGCTTTCTGGATCATATCAATAGGCTGTATGGCATCGGACTGTGTATAATTGTACACTGCATCCTTCAGGATACCGTGGACCTGTGGATCGAGCTGTCATACTTATTAGCAAACGAAACGAAGCGAGAAACCTTGTCTCTCCAAAGGATAGTAACGATAGCAGCTGCGGACTCAACAATCAATAGAACAACCACGAGGGCTCCATACTGTAGATCAGTTGTCGAGAAAAGAAACTAAAGGCTACTTACGGCCCAAAGTACGCCAACGCTCCCTACGAGTGCACCAAAGCAGCCAACGAGACTCAAAAGTAGCATAAATGCACCTAGCGTTATCATGAAGATGGTGGCGGCCTGCCAAACTGTTTGCAGCTCCTTTCCGTATTGGACAAAATTAATTTGGATCCACGATCCCAGAAGAATTAAAATCAGGGCACAAAGCTGGTGACTGGAGTGATAAGTGCTTTTTTTAGCTTACGAAGCATATGAGGTTGAAAAAGAGTACCGCACACTTTAGGCATTTCATCATTGCAGGACCGAAGGTCGATTGGAATGCGTGTAAGGAATTGGAGATTCGTTTAGGGTAGCGTCAAATGGGCAATGTGGAAATCCGTGGTGAGAGATGATTTCTGAAATGCACAGTACAAAAGAATGTCAGTGAGTAAGAGGAGTAAGAGTAAGAGTGAGTAAGAGTAAGTGTTGGAACCCTAATCCGATCAAAACATTTGCCGGACCCAAGCAGACAGACTCACATATAAGTCTGTGCATTATTTCTGAGATGGAACTCAGTGACCACTTTTGCCCACCTAAATCGAAGTACAAACTATTGCAGTATTTTTAAATAAAGTGACGGGTAAAAAACAGCGTTGCACAGGTTCTGCAAACATTCAGCAAGGATATAAAATCAACTTCCGAAAGACGAAACTATTTAGACGAAAGGAGCTGATTACTCATCTAGCACCAACGGTCTCGGACCCTGGAATGAAAGTAAGCACGGGAAACAATCACCAGTTTATCCGCAAGTTGATTTCGTCGCAGATACTGAGGTCAGAGGTTTAGATGCCGTTTCAAACAGGATGGTGTACCAACACTGATGCTGCTGTCTTTGATGATGATAGTGATTGCGGACTAAATTTAAATTTTACAGAGCATACACGAGAAGCGCATATCTAGACTGAGTTGTCTTTCGTTTAAGGCTTGAAAAAAGTAGTCACTCCTAGTGTTCGGTGACGATTTTTGGACTATGGACCTCTTAGCTACTTGATGGATGTTTGGAACACCCGGTTGCACAATAGTGGGTGTATTGTTCGTATCTAATAAGAGGAAAACACAAGGTACCTGCATCACTAGCCTTATCTACTTATTAGATGAGCATTCACTTCCCAGGAGGCGATGAAATCCACCGGATAGCCGAGGGAAATAATTAATGAGCAGAGACCGATCCGTGGCTTGGATTGGGCAAGTCACAAGTGCACACACAAGCAACGCGCCCGGGAAAGCGGCATCAATGCAACAAGTTGCGATAGGGAATGGTAGTGAAACGACATCATGCTGTGGAGAACCAAGGGTATTTCACTGTGGCAGATTCCCATTTTCAAAATATAAGCATTGCGCTTAGTTGTCTGGTCATCCAAGCCGAACAATACATCTTCATAAGTAACAAACGCGCCGCACGAACACAGACGACTGGGCTATCGGTCACTTGTTGACAAGTAAGAAGCACAACTGAATGACATCGGCATCGCAGGCCGTAGCTGATACACCATTTAGCTCCGTTTTTCAGCTCACAAACCGCCCACCGAGGTGGATAAGGAGAATGAGGAAATGAAAGCCACGCTCTGAAGACCAAATCTGTACATTGACAAGTGGTTCTGCCTGTTCGGTATGGGAGAGATCGGAAGCTATGCAGCGAGGCTGATAGTTTTTAGGCAAGACCATCAATGGCTGTGACAGCAATATCTGTCAGGTTCACTAAACACTGGTTTGTCTCGTCCAACTGTTTCCATTCGGGGAGACTGCAGTTACCAACGCGACTAGGTTGACTGGTGAGGGCTTTCATGCTTCGTTACAAAGTCATCGACTGACCACCTCTCGCGCATCTCCATCCGACAGAAGGCAGGGCGAAGAGGGTCCTATGAAGTAAACGGTCCTCTGACATGGCCTAACCAGTTCAACCTGTGGAGTGTGTTCAGCTCATCTATCAGAGGACAGTGAGCTTTCCGGAAAACGCCTGGTGTAGTACAATATTCCCACCAGACCCACGCAATTTTTCGGAGGCATCAAGAGTCACACGCAGCGGCCACGTCTGCGGTCTGTAAATTTGAACAGTTTGGACTGCGTTATTGTACAGTTTACCATTGACAGCCACGTTGATGTCGCGCCACCACTAGAAATGGCGTTTCCCTGGCCTTCCCGATTTCGAAAATAATTTCATCTTTCGCCTGACAGCCGGAGCCTACGCGTTCGCCCAGACAAACTTACCTACTACATCGACTTGTTTACCTGAAAGCATTAGATTTGGGTTTGAACCAAAAGAATCGTTCAGCTGTAGCACCCTTTCGGTGCCTAGCTGCTATTCCAACGGAAGGAGGCACGAGGGCTGGGATACTGCAAAGTTGGCCAAGCCTAGAGAGAAGTAGTCTAAATGCTGAGGCCGGGTTCGAAAGACGAACTTTCTGGTCTGTAAGCTGGCACCTTAACCACTGAGCTACCTCGATCTCCGTCAATCTGGCAGCAAAGTTTTACAGTTTACAGTTTACTGTGCAACAGAATTATTTAGTTTATTTAGAATATTTTACATTTCCAAACGGCCTGGTCTAAGGAGAGCAATATCGTCGGTGTACCGAGTGTCAGTGAGCGAACGCCCCGATAATATTTCGAGTTGTTAGAGGCAGATAAAGAAGATTCAAGCAGCACCTCGATTATGAAGTTAAAAAGAAGGGGTACCAAGGGGCACTCTTGCCTGATACCACTGGAAGTGATGAACTCAGAGGAGAATTCGCCATTAACATGTACGCATCCACGGGAGGAGGTATACAGAGACTTCATGAAAAAAAGTTTAGAACGGGCACCCTTCAACGCAAGACACCGCCGTAGTTTCTGGCGAGCAACGGAGTCAGAAGCAGATTTGAGATCAAGAAATACGACTGTTACTAGTCATCGGAAGTAGTCGTGCAGTTCCAGCAAATGTCGCAAGTTGAAGGAATGGTCGACACGATCCCGGTCAGGGAGGAATCAAGCTCCATTCCCACGAATCTGACTCTCCCGATTGTGGAACAACCATCGTAGGATAATATCAGAGCACCTTGAAAGCCATTCTGTTAGTTTTCTTTTCTCACTCCAGACTTTGTAGTGAAGGACAGCCACGAGGGACTCCCCACCTTCTTTGAAGAGTGCAGGATGCAAACAATCTGGACCGGGAGATTCTTTGCTACCGGAGCAAAGAAGTTGCACCCTGGACTTCCGAAGAGAAAGGCGAACTGGTATCCACGTCCCACTCAGGTTAATTAGATCCTTCCTGAGAGTGGGTTGATGTGGGTCAGTTGAACAGTTCAGACCATCATTCAAGACGACGCTTATGCGAGTGAACTGGGGACCCACCTTTTTCGGAGATATTCTCACAAACATCCCTCGAACTAGTTGGTCGTATTAGCTGCAACAGGGTACCGTTATTTCTTGTTACAAAAATTCACTCCGCATCTCGGGCTTTTACAACCCACCAGCGCTAAATGTCAGTCTTTATGCTCTTCATTATTCGGCGCTTCAGGGATCTGCGCGCTGTCACAGTCGTTTGTTGTCGGTATGGTTTCCCTGGCTTCAATCAGAGCTGCTGGTTGAGATCCAATGCTCATTGAGGTGTGTGAATGGCCTTGAGCGGACGGTTTCAAGGGCTGTGACTATGTCTCATTTCAAATGTCCCAAATTGTAATCCTAGAGAAACTCTGTTCATCTGTAACACCCTTTCGGTTCCTAGCTGACATGACACCTGAAGAAAGCACGAAGGCTGGGATACTTCCAGTTGCCCAATCCTAGACAGAAGTCGAGATTTAAAAGTGGGGATGAAGCTACGGACTTTCGGGTAGGTAAATTCGCGCTCTAACCACTGAGCCATCTCAGCTCCTCCCCAATCCTCATCCAAATCACCGTTATTCCCGTTAAGTTCAAGGGGCTTCTCAGCCAACTCAACTCGAGACTGCTGCATTACAGACACTTTGGAGGTAGTGAACTAATTATTTGCATCAACCGACGTGTCCCTGAGGGGATGCGAATAGATAAGCATGCCCGCATGATACCGTGATCAGAATCAAGCAGCGTACTCCAAAATGAGCGACAATCTTGTATCGAAAACCTCCACCAACAGCTGATTGTCACATGGTCCGGTTGAATCTACGACTGTTCTGTATTTGGTGGTCTTCAAGCCACATGTGTTGAAAATTTGTGCTGGCTGAAACAGCATCATTAGGAGGCAAAGAAGAGCTGCTAAGAAAAATGGTTGCCGGCCTCAAATCCGTGGAATATGAAACGCGTCTCGCGGTTCTCGACCTCTTTCCCGTGGAGTATCGTCGACTCCGAAGAGACCTAATACTTACTTTTGTCCTGTTTAAACAAGGTTTGGCCAGCAGGCTTTTCACCGTTTATCCAGCCAACACAAGGCGAGGACATGGTAAGATTTACAAGCTCAGAGTGCACATTTTAATTAGGCAGAATTTTTTCTCATTTTGAGTAGCTGCTGTGTAGAACAGCTTTCTCCCGACGATTGTCGACGTCACATCTAGCACCCAGTTCAAAGCACTAGACCCATTTTTCGCATGTCTTTTAGGTGGACGGCAGTCGCTGAACGACAAGAACAATACGACCCGGGAAACTTGGGCGGAAACCTCGATCTTGTGTATCAAACCGCAAATTTTTGTTTTACGCCAACACTCTATATTACAGGAAATAATGCAAAAGCACCTCATGGTAATTGGGTGAGATATACCGTTAGATAACCGTTAAATAACCCAATTTAATAGCCATATAGTCGGCTTATAACCGGCTTGTGATGCGAGTATAGCTGCAGATACGAACAAACCGCCTACATGGACCAAACCATATATCCTACAACCCTGTCCTAATCCACACAACCCTCCCCTGGATTTAACACTTTCGATGAACTTTCAGTTTGTCCTCCCGAAAAAGTCGATGGTTGTCTTTGGAGATCACGTTTCGTCC